CGGACCCCCCTAGAGGATTTGAGGTCCACCTCCACTTAAAATATGTTCACATGGATAGGTTCCTAAATAGATTTGCAAATTTTTTTTAAATAGTAACCCATGTCCATATGTTTATTCTGGCGTAGTAGATTTAAAGTTTAGGGCTATCACTATGGGCAGCAACGCTGTAAATATTGACAAATAAATCCAGGAAAATGGCACAAAAGAAAACTGGTAGTGGCCTGGCTGGGTGTATAATTCCCAGCCTGACTTATTGTCCCAGTCCGGCCCTGTATATAATGATGACATGTCCTCCAATATTTCTTGAAATTCTCCGGAAAATAAAAGTTAATCGTCATCCCTCCATTTTACATTTGTTTTGTGATAAAAAAATACTGTCTAAAGATATTATGGGCCTAGTGAAATGTCAGAATAGTTCATGACAATCTTACTTAAGATGTGTTCAGGCATTTGATTTGTAATAGTCTGTGAGATTCTGGAGTAGAAACTCCATATTATACGAGAATTCAGCTGTCCACTCAAACCTGGTATACAAATGTACTAAATGGAAAAAGGGGTGTAACTTACAATACCATTTTTTATGAATGACATTAAATATTTTCACACTGTGTGTGTGGGTTTGTCAATCCTGCAAGGCAAATATATATTTAGTGGGATTCCGGTATCACATTTGTTGATAAGGTCGGATCCATTTTATAACAAAAGAATACAACAGTTGACAGTGGTGTGCAGCATTAGTCAGCTCTATATTTCTTAATTGCTTTTTTGTTTTATTGTCACAAGGCGTTGACAAGACAAAAATGCTTGCGTCTTTAAATTATTTTTGTCTTAACCCAGAAACATGTATATGCACTCCACATTCATTCCATGAGTCTGTTTGAGTTCATGCATTTATAGATGAAAAGGAGGATATCTAGATGACTGGAACTTTCCTGTGGCTCGTGTTTTCTTTGTTGGTCTTCAGAAGCTGTCAGTGTTCATGTGATCCTCTCAGTTTCGTTGACCACTGAACAAACACACCCAGCACACACAGCCTGTGAGCTTCCCCCTTTTCACCGAGCTGTGGTCTGATCATTAGCATGAGCCACACTTTCCTATAAGACTTAAACGGTTTTCATTTAAGACTGTACAGTTGTTTTTCATGATCTAATATTGGTTTCCTTGTGTTTACTATTTGTTAACAACAGAAAAAACTGTCAAGTTAAGTAAGAATACATACTAACGCTAACCCCAACCCCTGTAGCAATGCTCCTAATACTGTTTTATTCAAACCACTTACTGCATTTCTTCATTGCCATCAAAGAGTGTGTGCTCTTCAGGGAGAAAGGGTAATTACTGGAGCTGTGGCGTCTAATAGTGCCGTCGCCCTGAAGGAAGGCTGAGAAGTGGTGTTGTTATATCATATGAAAGGGTGACCTGAAGGGTGACGGTGTGACTGGCCTGCACGTTGCTGGTTTGATCCGTGGAAAGTGGATGAATAAATCATAGGAGATGGAGAGGAAGCATCGGTTGAGATGGGTGGGTAGGTGGGTGGTTGGTTGGTTGGTTGGTTGTGTTGCTGGATAGATAGATAGATAGATAGATACATACATACATACATACATACATACATACATACATACATACATACATACATACATACATACATACATACATACATACATACATACATACATGCATACATGCATACATACATACACAGGAAAAGCATTATATAAATAACATGTATAATTATTATTATTATTAATATTATTATTATACATACATAGATACAAACATACACACATACAAACATACATACAGTAGATACATACATAGATACATATATACATACATAGATAGATACAAACATACATACATACATACATACATACATACATACATACATACATACATACATACATACATACATGCATACATACATACATACATACATACATACATACATACATACACACATAGATGCATACAGATAGATACACTTTTTACGCTGCTATGGACAATCTTGCACTAATGTACATTTCCCAAAGATATTGAAGTGACTGTTATTTTGTATATTGATTGTTGTGCTTTTATTAATATCTGAATGTGTGCATATATATAAATGTGTTGATTGTGTATATATAGGATTGGATATACCTATTTGTATACATATTTTTATATATATTTGTATTTTTGTATTCGGGATTGTGGGAAACGGTATTTCGATCTCTTTCTGTACACACAAACTGAAAGATTGACAATAACGTTGACTTTGACTTTGACATAGATACATACATAGATATATAGATTTTCGTCCGGCCACTTTGGTCTATTGTTGTTGTGGCTGCATTCTGGGTGGAGTGTAAACCTCGGCCTGTGGTCCACAGACATGGCAGTGGTGTAGGCTGTGGCTGTTAAGCAGCACAAAGCTTGGGGAATACGGAGAAGCTAATGTAATTAACCTTGCTGCTGCTAGATGTCAACACAGGGTGTGTCTTATTCAGTGCAAGCTAGCAGGAGAATTGTATTATGATCACAAAATCTTTAAAAAATGTGTACGTAGATTTAAATACATCTCTTTTTAGCATTTGATGAAGGTTACTGTTCATTTGTTTTTATATTGGCAAAAGAATATGTTTTTAATGCATATGCCAAGTGGTTTCCTGTGCTTGACGTCCATCTGTTTTATTGTTGACGTTTTACAACTTCCATACATTTGCCATTAAAACATCCAATGTTAAATTCCAACGAATAGCTTTGAATACTTAATAATCTGTATTCTTATCAAGCCCTAACCAAAACTATGAGACTAACTAGACACTACTGACATAAAAAGAAAATAATTGACGCCAAAGTTGTCTCTCAGACAGAATCAGACAGATGGTGTTGTAATGCAGCGATGATCTCTGACCTAATGGTTCACAACTCAGTACCTCTGTGCATACTCTGTGAAGTTAAACTAACCTGCTGCTTGTTCCCAACATGATTTACACATCATGCCTGTTGTTTGTCAGCTTCCCATTCTGTGACAAACTGCCACTCAGTGCATTATCAGAAAGGGGCTCTGTGCGCTGACGTGGTAGAGCGGGCACATCATGTTAATTAGACTGTGTGAAGTGTGACAGTATACCCTTCCGGGAAAAGATTGTCCCACTCTTGACCTAACAATCAACATTGGCACCTCTGTTGTTTCCCCGACTCAGACTGCAAGGAATCTGGGTGTGATCCTAGATAACAAACTGTCCTTCACTGCAAACATCGCTGCTACAACCCGCTGCTGCAGATACACGCTTTACAACATCAGGAGGATGCGTCCCCTCCTGACCCAGAAAGCCACGCAGGTTCTGGTCCAGGCTCTCGTCGTCTCACACCTAGACTACTGCAACTCCCTCCTGGCTGGTCTACCTGCATGCGCCATCCGGCCTCTGCAGCTCATCCAGAATGCAGCTGCTCGTCTGGTCTTCAACCTTCCAACATTTTCCCACACCACTCCGCTCCTCCGCTCACTTCACTGGCTTCCGGTAACTGCTAGAATCCACTTAAAGACAATGGTACTTGTGTACCATGCTGCGAATGGATCTGGCCCTTCCTACGTCCAGGACATGGTTAAACTGTACACCCCAGCACGTGCACTCCGCTCTGCATCAACCAAACGGCTCGCTGCACCCTCGCTGCGAAGGGGACCCAAGTTCCCATCAGCAAAAACACGTGGCTTTGCTATCCTGGCTCCAAAATGGTGGAATGATCTCCCCATTGACATCAGGACAGCAGATAGCTTACACACCTTCCGGCGCAGACTGAAAACTCATTTCTTTCGACTCCACTTCGAGCGTTAGAACTATTAACAAAGCACTTATATACTAATAAAGGGCTGGCTTATCTAAAGCCAGTTGAGTAGCACTTGAAATGTTTTAGCTCTATGAAACCTGATATACTTATATGATTCTGTTTTCTTCAAGTTTGTATTTTGTTGGTCGAACGCACTTATTGTAAGTCGCTTTGGATAAAAGCGTCAGCTAAATGCAATGTAATGTAATATACTGAGGGTTGCACTCTGCTAAAGAGGCTCAGTTATTTTCACACTTGGTGGAAGTGACGATATTGCATTTCACTGATGATCTCACATCACTGCATCCTAACATGTTGATGCTTCCCTTGTGTAGTCCTCTGTCCCTGAGCTGTGATAAGGATCAGCCTCTGAATGACTGAAACATGTCGAAATCTGTCAGAAGAAAATGCTTTTTTTAATTTAGTGTATATCTTTATTTGGTGATCACTTTTATTGAGCACTGTTTTAAAGTACGACTTTGAATCGCCTCTTTTTTTGAGCATTTTCAATATTATGCTACTTTACACTTCTAACCCAATTCATTTCAGAAAGAAATACTGTAGTTGTATTCACTACGTTGATCTGACGGTTCTTTGCAAAACCTAATAATACTATAAAAAATTATCATGGATGTATTGAATGGTGTGTTAAGTTGTTGTAATCAGCTGACATGTCATTGCATCAGATATAAAATAATACAGTCTATAGTTAAATATAAATAAATCACTGTCTATTTTTCCTAATATTAAAATCATTGTTTAGTTTGTGAAAAATGCCAAAAGTCAAGTAATTTTAGCTGATAGTAGTTTCTTAGTTTACCTTATGCAAGCATCTGAAGGAACTTCATCTTTTGCTGTATGAACACACTTTCTGTGTGTGTTTTCGATTAATTTATTCCTTAAATGCTGACAATCCATCACTCAAATTATTCAACCCTGCTTTCTAATCTTTTTGCAGACTAATTTATGTCCTCAAGTCTTTTCTGTCCATTTTGTTTGCGTACGTGAAAACTGTTCTGCACAGCTTCCCCTATTCTACTACATGAAGATGGAAGAACTAATTGCTCTGAATAACCTAATGCATTTTTCAGTGAGACAGCTAAAAGGCTTTAAAAGGGTTTGCCTATTAAAGCCTTATTTCTCTCCACCCTGTCTCGTCCTGACCCCTTCTCCTGCCCATCTGCTCTCAGTAGAGGAATGTTCCGGGTGCTCCCTTAGCCTGCAGTGGCCAGTCTGCAGCGAGATGGGCTCAGAGGATCGCAGTTCAGCAGCCATGTCACAAAAGATATCCTCGGTGTCACGCAGCAACAGCAGCTCCTCGTCCAAACTGGACAGCCGACAGGTAAAACACAACACACTGCCATGAAAGACTAGAAAAGTTTGAACTATTAGCTTCTCCACATTCATATTTTCTGGTTTACTGTTTTTGTTCTGCAAAAACAACGTCTTCCTGTCCTTGAGGGATTTCTCTGTGTCATGGGAGGAGATTGACTTGACAGTAAATGCCTTAACCACACAAACATTTGCTATTAGGCCCTGTGGTTTTCTCAGAGTTTCTCACAAAGCTCTATTTGGCTCTTTATTAATTCAAGCCAGAGGCAGCCCTATCTGAGGTTCCCTTTGCATTTTAGACAGCAATAACTAAATGCTGCAAACCTGAAAAAAATACGTTTTAACCTGCCTCAGTCTCAGACCACATTTCTTCCATTAGTGGGCAATTTAAGAATACTCAGAATTTCGAAAATGCAAATATGCGACATATCCCTAAAAGGTAGTTCTCCCACTCACACAAATTAGTCTTGACAATAGCGCCATTACCAAACTGTTGTTGCATTTTCCTCTTCTCTTTATCTGCAGGCAGCAGACTCATTCATTATTCATTACAACTGTTCCGTTTGGAAATAAAAGTAATAATGTTTCATTACAGTCCTCCTGCCCACAGGACACCCAGACACTAGTGGTCCATCACAGCAAATGCATCGACTGAAAAGTATTTTGCAGTGCCCATGGAAAAACAAAAGAATATATATAAATATCCATCAAAAGGGCAGTTTCAAACCTGAGACAAGCTTGGATATAAGTTTCATATTATTTATAAAAATGTATGGTCACATTTTGTGGGGTTTCTCACTTAAATATATCTATTTTCTTTCACTCCTATAGGAGCAATTGTCAAGTGAGCAGTTTTCCATGTAGCACGTGCAATTAGTTGAATAGTTAAGTTAGATGTAAACACGAATATGGAGCCTAGAAATTATAAACATAACATAGCCTATAGAGACAAGACAGGTTGAAACCGCTCTAAGAGCCAGCCCCCCTAAAGCTCAAATTGTAAAAACGTCACTGTTTGGTTAGGCTGACTTGTTTCTAGCTGGATGCAGTAACTTCCTCAAACCCATAACTTGCTCTTAACAACTTGTTATTGTGTGGTTCAAACAAAATATATATAAGATGTTAATTAGTGAGCTTTAGAGGTTGTGATTGGCAGATTGTTTACCATTGGACATTTCTTTCCATTCCTCATGTTTCCTGTCTGTGTGCTAAGCTAAGCTAACTGCCATTGATTCATATTCACCGTACTAAGAGGAGTGCTATCAATCTAACTATGTATTTATTTATTTATTTGATGGTAGTGATGTTCAATGTAGGTTCATGTGATTTGTCAAATATATGGTTCAATATACATCTTACAACCATCTTAAAAGTGCAGCCGGACAATTTACAACTTGCTTTTGCTGAGAGCTAACCCTGTAATTGCACATGTCTTCTTGTCACTTGTGTTTTTACTATATCGCTGAAAGGGCCTCTCGACCTTGAAGAAAATGGCCTGGCAGTGTGTGATAATGACTCACTGTGTGAGTGTGTCAGCGGGGGCTGTGACGAGCACTCGAGTGAAAGAACAAGCCACAAGTCCCCCCCTCTCCATCCCCCTTCAGAAATGAGGGTTTATTTTAGACGGCCTCACCTCCAGCCCTCTGACTGATACAGTTTGTTTAGCCAGACATGTATTTACACTGGAACATTCAGGGACACAGAGTCACCTCAAACACCTGCCAAGACCCAAGAGTCCCTTTGGATATTTGTGATGTGAATATGAATTATTCTTAAATGTTTTTCCCATGTGGGATTAATGTAATTTACTGTACAATCCTAAAGAAACTGCATTATCAGCAAATTGAATTCATTAAAAAAAGCGTTGCAACTTTATGAATTTATAATATCTACCTAAACCCAAGGTGATGTTTGCCTATTATGTCCATTTAACAGTACACAAATATAATACATGACATTTAAATAAATGACGAAGACATAATTTAGGGTTTCTCTTTTGAGCAAACATACGTTATACAACAGGTTTAAAAGCTAAGTAATGCATGTTAAAGGCTGCATCATTCTCTGTGTAAACAAAGATGTTATAGAGCTTCCTGTTTATGCTGCCTTCCTGGAATTCTCACCACTCAAATACAAAGCTATCTGGATTAGTCTATGATGAAATATCACCTTAATCTCTGCATTTGCAGAGGGATTTGGATTGTAGCATTATAATCTCAGAAAAGGATTATTGTGAAGAGTTGAGATTAGACAGGTAAGCTAATTTTGTAAATTGGGATCATGAGTTGAAAGTAAAGCTCAAAACTGGACACCTCATAGAGCTCCATTTTCGCTCAGCATAAAATGTATCTCCCACTCCCACAGCCTCCCACTGACTGACTGACACTGCAGTAAAGGAGACACTGAAATCTAATCAATCACACATTGCTGTATGCTTTGACTCCGACCTTGACTCTGTTGTTTGGATGATTTGTTTATTGTTACCTAACCTTACTGCAACTGTGATCTATAACTATATTGTATCTTCTTATAAACCACCTCTGCCCACAGGACAGTTGGGAAATAGTGGAGGGTCTTCGAGGAGGCTTCAGCAATGTCCTGGAGCCCCAGAAACAGGAGGGCTACATGCTCAAGAGGAGAAAGTGGCCGATGAAGGGCTGGCATAAGGTATAATCAACCACATGCGGCTTAATTGACCCACGTCATCTCGATCTTACTCATCTCTCAGAATGATAGACATCATGATGTATTTTTAGACATACTTGAGAATCGAACATCATTACCATTTCCCGGTTTTACTTCATACGTTCAGGTCTCTTTTCCAAAAAGATCTGCTGACATGACTCATTTGTCTTTTAAACTAATTGAATGAGCATGTGCAGTAGCTGATGTCACCCACAGAGGAGTCACATGTGACCTGGGTCAGTAACCGCTCACGCTCTGTCTGAAAGCTTTCACTGGGATAATGCTACCTAGCTGCGTTAGCTGATGGACTGTTAGTTAATAGAGGTAAAACATTTAGTATTGACCTGCAGTCAGTCGCTTTTCTTGTCTTTGTGCTTTCAACTGGAACGTTTACAAAGAGAAGGATCGCAACAGAGTGAGGGAAAGAGTAATAAAGACAGAAATGATGCATGACAAGAGCCTGGGATGACAAATATCTCTCTGCAGAGACATTAACAACCTACATTAAAGAGAGGCGGACTCTGTCATGATCACAGAATCATAGCCGTGACTTCAGACTTGCTGTCAGGATGTTGCATATCATTCCGGCTGCAGATCATTTGCTCATTGTCCTAATTTCTCCATACAGAGGTACTTCTTCCTGGACAAGGGCATCCTGAAGTATGGAAAGTGCAGTGCTGATGTGAGTACAAAAGCCTTCTAGATGCATACTATGTGGTTGTCAGTTACAGAAAGATTTCAAATGACATTTTGTGTCTTGTACCGTTGGCTGTCTTTCCCAAAATATCTATCTGTGCCAGTAGATACTCACAATCTCGTTCAAATCAAATCAAGTTTTATTTATATAGCACATTTTTAAAACGATTTTTGGTCGAGCCAAAGTGCTGTACATACAGTAAAAATACTTTGCACTAAGGACACTTTACAACAAATACAACAGGTTTGTGCAGAATATCGTTGTCATTGATAGGAATCACACGGTGCATTTCACCTGCCAATTTCACATGATTAATTATCAGCAATCCAGACGCTGTAATTGGGCAGGGCTGCGCAGAGCCAATAAAAGTATAATACTGCATTTTAAAACAGAACAGCATCCCTTCACAATTGTATTAATTCCAGTCCAAAATATTCATGACATTGTGTGTTGACTTTGTCTTGCAGATTGAGAAAGGGAAACTGCATGGCTGCATTGACGTGGGCCTCTCTGTCATGGCCATTAAGAAGAAAGCCAAGTGCATCGATCTTGATGCTGAGGAAAACATTTATCACCTGAAGGTAAACCGCGAAGGCTAATGAATGGAAAGCATTTCCTACAGATTGATAGGAAGTGCTGTAAAACATAGATTATTCAGATTATCCCCCTTTTAATTCCTGTAACGGATGCTTACATGGAGAGGACTTTAAAATGACCTTATGTGTTGTGGGTAAGGGAGAATTACAGTCCCTCTGTGTGTTTTTCCACCTTCACGCTTCCTCCACCTAACCTTGACGTCGGGTTGTCTCGTTGATTTCTGATTGTGGTATCTGCTCTCCAGATTAAGTCCCAGGAGCTGTTTGATGAATGGGTTGCCAAGCTGCGCCACCATCGACTCTATCGGCAAAATGAGATTGCCATGTACCCTACCGACAAGTCCTTCTACTATCCCCACTACCCCTCCGCCAACTCCCCTAGCATGGCGGAGGGTGCCTCCATCAGAAAGGTATACCTGTGCACTGCATAGTACTGAAAACTCACTTGATGCTTTCTGCTTCTGCTCATGAAAATCGATTTCACAAAGTCCCCATTTCTTTATAATTTTATGAAGGAAGCACATTGTTATTGGACTGACCTTTGGTTCTTTTGTCCCTTGCAGTGCATGTCTATGCGCAGACAGTCCACAGTGCATTCTGCAGGAGCCTTCCCTTTAAACTGCAGCAGCCAGGCCAAAGTAACCGCCTGGCTCCAGTCATCAGACGACATGGACAAGTGCTCCAAAGGTGAGGCAGTAAAGCTGACTCTGCTGATTTGAGGGGTTTCTTACACTTATAAGTACTATCATGCATTTTTTATAGTATTTATATGTCTTCCATACTGTGTTAGTTGTTTATGAACATCAGCGTCACTGACTGAATAGATGTAGGTTACTGTACGTCAGCCATTTATAGTCTGTAAAGAGAGAGAGTCTGTCCTCAATGGCCAAACGAGTACATGCTAGTGTTTCTGTTCCTTTTATTGCAGATTCATTTTTATTTGTATGTAACTCTCTTCTTACGCCAACCTTCTCATCTCAATGTGGATGTGTTCCCTACTCCACAGACTTGTCAGTGTGTGACGGCTACCTGCTGGAGCTCAACCACCTGCTTCAGAGTATGGAAGTCCTGCACCGCACCTATTCTGCTCCATCAATCCAAACACTGCAGGTCAGCACTTTATTCCTGATTCCTCTCCCCTTCACATGCAGAGCCGGATTGTTCTTGCAACTCAATATTAAGCCTGAGAAACTGTGCAGTAAATGAACTTACTCACATCCAAAACTGGATCACTCAAAATGCAAAATAACTTGTCTTGATTTTGTCTTTTATCATTTCTCTCCGCCAATTATTTTGTTGCCCTCAAGTCATTTGCCTCTAAATATAGAAAACATTGATAAGTCTTTGCCAGCAATGAAACCATTTCCTATGAAGAGCCTTCAAAGTAAAAAAACAACTCTGTCTCGACCATCTTTATCTTTTTGTTCACTAGGCATCTACGTTTGACAGCCCGAAAAAGGAAAAGAGACTTCCAAAGAAATGGCGCACTAAAAACTACAACAAAGATGTCAAAGCAACTCTGCAGGTACACATCTTAATAATGACATGTGATCCTTTTTCTTCTTTTTTCATATGAATCCCTCTAAGTTGTATTCCTGCTGCTCTACTGTAGGTGCCTAGCTGCATCTCCTCTAGCTCTGTGCGCCTCCACGCCTCGAACCCCAACCTCTCCACAGCTGCGCTCGCCAACGACAAGGCGGACACCGAATCGCTGGATTCAGCTTTTGACGTGACCAAGCTGCAGGAGGACTTCTGTCGCGTTGCTGCCAACTGTGAGTCAAATATTATGAGCTGGTCATCTTAAATCACCATTTTTACCATGTAAATCTCCCCAAGTGCACATAAATCTGTCAGACAGCTGTCTTATTTGCATGTAACGTAGAAACGGCAGTGGGTTGTTGTACATAACAAATAGATGTGACAATAGCAGCTGGTAATTACTGATTGTTTAGTTTACATTCATTAGGATTCTGATAGTGTGTTCTGCGTGTCCTCCAGCTGATTTTGATTTGAAAGAGGGGTATTAATTAGTTTTCTGCTACTCCTCATTGACATTTATATTCAGATACCTGATGCTTGACATGGCATAATGAGAATAATTGTTTTTTTACGTAATGGTCTCACAATTCCCACTTTCCCTGTAAAATGAGTTTAAAGTTTGCCCCGGGGAACAACTATCACTTCTGCTGGCATTTCAACTGTCAGATTTATGCACATTCAAAATGATGAAGCTAAGGATGTGTGATTCTAGTTTCGATCTAGTAAGACGAAACATTAATATGACAAGCACTTACTATATTATAACCTCCCAAGCATCTATTTTGAGGTGGGTGGTAAAATGAATAAAGATCGTGACTTGCAAATGGAGGAGATCATCAAAATGTCACACCTTTTCCATTTTAAAGCATGGCGTGATAGACTTTGACTGAATCTGCATGGCACTGAAATTAAAGCAAATCTGTTCGCACTGAAAAAATGTCCCCTCGTTAATTTTTCCTATCTCTACAGTTCATGCAACCATGAAGACGGCCCTGAATACACTAACATCTGAACGAGAGAGATTAAAACAATGTGTGGACCACGAAACAATTCCCCCTACCTCTCCTCAGGTTGTCGGTTTGAAGAACGCTCTGACAACGGTATGTGAAATAACACAAACTCACACCCTTACACATAAATATTGTCAGTCAGTAGAAATTAGTATTCCGCCTTCTTATAGACTTACCTCTCAGAAGCCGGCACCACTTGTAAGGCGTGACACATTGCTGAGCATCTTTGAGGGATTACTAGCTGCCGGTGTGAGGTCTGCCCACCTGAACATATCTATACTCAAAATGGTCGTCATGTTTACTGTGGCTGCTGCCTCCCACCCAGAGACTTCCTTTTTCTATTTTATGTTTTACTCATTGTCATGCTGACTTCTTCGCAGCTTTAGAACTCCTGTGCTCTTTACGCCGACACATTTCGTGCACTTTAAATACCTAGCTGGGTGTTAGCTTCTACCTACCTCACATGGAGTCAGTAATGAGTGAGTAATAGGTCTGCAGTGATAGCACATGCACACATCTCTATAATAAAAGTAAATGGCATGTGACCATAAGCAGCTCAAGTAAGGACATTTAGGTATTAGTATTGACTGATTGGATGTATGATGTAAACATTTTTACACTGGTTATTTTTACAGGCTTTAGCCCACAACTCTGAGCTGAGGGAGCGCCTGTGCAAGATTCATGCCGAGTCCCACATCGTAGAGCCCACACTAATAAATGTCACTGCCCCTGTACAGGTTGGTGCAGGAATGCAGTGACTCTTCTCCCCCCCACCCCCACCATCACTATGATTATTATTATCTCAGTTTTTTTTTTTTCAACCCACAGTGTTGACTTTGCCACAGACTGAATGAGCTGTCCTTTCCCTCTCATCCAAATTCTGCAAATGTTGCTCTCCTCCTCCCTTTTTATCAAGACAATGACTATTAAAAGTGTGATTTTCTTCAATGCAAACTTTTCAGGGAACAAGGCCCCCTCAATTTTTTTGTATTTCCATTATTTTTGCTATGAGAAAGTGCTTCCTCTCAGTCCTGTGGTTGTGTTTTACTATCACATGGCTCAGGGGAAGATTACCTTTCACGTTATTGTCTCCAAAGGAAGCTCTTTACTCTCTTAATCTTTTGCTGACCAGAGAGTGTGAGCTGATCTTATCGGAAATGTGTTTGAACACACGGTGCAAAACTAATTAGCCTCCTCAGAGATTATCTCCAGGCCAATTAATCAGCTCCGGCAATAACAAGGCAATAATAAGAGGATGTAGGGGCGTGCTCACTTCTATGTGTGCCGCTGTGGAAAGTACTTCTCGTTAGTAATTTGTTTCATGTTTTGAGTTGTTTTCAGCAGAACAATATGAATGCTATGAGTTTATTTTGAATGTGCATCTTGTTTTGTGTTAACAACTTGCCAGACAGAAGAGTTCACTTCTTGCACACGTGCACTTCTGACTGGATTAAAACAATTATACAGTGATATATTGGGATACAGACTCTAGAAAAAAGGTTGATTGCAATATATTGCAAAACTGATCGTTCTTTTATACAAATTTAGTTTTAGTTTTTTTATACAAAGTCTTCCATTTTTAAAAGGTTCAAATTTGTGGCGAATTTATGGCTGTTTAACGATGGCACATGAAAATGTTCCTGTATAGTAAAAAGAAAGATGCATGCACTCTGTTGCATGATGTCAAAGTTCACCGATTAATATAAATATATATAACCTTCTATAAAACTGAAAAACATTTCAAAACGCAATTTTAATTGTGATTTATATTGTGAAAATATAATATATGTATGATCATGTATTTTATTGATAACTGTCTTCCAATATATTGAATTTGAGATTTTGTTTTGCAATCCTCACATTATCCAATCATTGTGATTGTATGCTTTTCTGAATTTCCCTGTGATTGCCGCCCATTCTGGCTTTGATGATGTTGCTCTTTTCTTGTTCTTAATTATAGCTGTGAACACTGTGTTTCCTAGAAACAGGAGTCTGCTGATGAATCCCTTCCACTCATACATCAAGTCTCCAACGAGAGCAGAGCTTCAATCACAGAGTCTTTGTCCGAGTTCTTCGATGCACAGGAAGTTCTGCTGTCTTCTAGTTCCTCAGAAAATGAGGTAAGTGTGAAGGCTTAACTGGCACCATCAGCAGCTGAACTGAAAATGAGGGTTGCATAAACGTACAATTATTGTTAATGTCATGTCATTTGTCATGTTTGCTTCTACTATTGTATGAGGAAAAGATCTGCATGATAAAATGGAGAGAAAAATCAATCGAGACAGAAATACACGCCAGAGGTTTTGAATGGATGTAACCTCTCATTTGAAACACATTGTGACAATCAGTGCTGTTGCAAAAAGAAAACATGCCTTTTAAACTACCTTCCCTAACACCACTTTGTTTAATGTGTCATTAAACAAGTGTCCCTCACTTCAGTTTAATTTCCTCGAGTCTTCATAGAGCATGCACGATCAGATAGCAGCTGGAGTGGAAGCAATGTGAAAATGGAAGTTAATTACTTTAATCTAAAAATACTGCAAGTTCAGGTGCAAATTATAGTCACCGGGTCCTTAGGGACCGTTCATCTCTATTGCAGTCGCTTTTTTGCTGATGTTACAGGATATTGAGAGAGACCTGCCCAATCCCAGGTTGTATTAAAATTGTTTCCGATAGTTAAAGTTTGGATTATTTTTAGGCGTCGGAGGATGACTCATACATTAGTGACATCAGTGACAACATTTCCATGGACAACTTCTGCAACGAGACAGAATGTGAGAGACCAAACTCAGGTAAGATTTTGGACATACCTTGGACCTTGGATACCACACAAATATTTCCACTTTTGCATTCACCACACAAAAGGTTGTCGGTGTCCTCTGACCTCTCTAACACCATCTGTTTCCAGGCTCTGTGGAAGAAGGCACTGTCCTTTATCAGCGTAGATCCTGCCTGCCCTCGCCCAGCCCCAACAACAGCTCCATTAGCCTGTGGAACATCCTCAGGAACAACATCGGCAAAGACTTGTCCAAAGTGGCGATGCCTGTACAGCTGAATGAGCCGCTGAACGCCCTGCAGAGACTGTGTGAGGAGCTGGAGTACAGCGAGCTGCTGGACAGGGCTGCTAACACACAGGACCCTTTTGAACGTATGGTGAGATGGCAAACACACCGTTTTTCTGTGTGAGTGTGTGGGCAGAGCTAGGTTCACATGTTCTCTCTCAGCACATAATGGGCCTCCTTTTACAAAAGCAGTTGCCCTTGGTGAAGCTAGTCTGTAAAAGGAAAGGAAAGTGGATTCTTTGAGAAACTTTTCATCACACCAAGGACCAGAAAGAGACTTAGAGCTCACTCTGCTTTCACATAGGGTGTGTCCATGTGAAATGTTTTCCCCCAGGTAGCCATAAAGAAATTGAAATAACTGTTGACTCATTCTTACATTTTTAAAGGAATAGTTTTACATTTTTAGAAATTCTCTTATTCTCTTCCTTGCAGGAGTCAGATGAGATTGATGCTCTATCAAGCCAGGCAACAATTAACTTAGCTTTGCTTACATTGTAGACAGGAAAAGGGAGACAGCTTTCTTTCTCTAAAGTGAAAACTACCCAGCACTTCTAAAGCTTAATAAACATTTTATATCCTATTTGTTAAATCTGTACACAAACAGGTTAAACATATATATATTTGGATAGAACCAGGAGTTACTCAATCTTTGCCCGCTCTTATTCCTCTAGACCAGTGACTTCAGCTGCCCAGTGTCAGAGGTATTGTCAAGTGCTTGAATGAGATCTTGCTTTACAGATTTCCTGCAGGCAAATGGCAAGATTGTGCCTCTTTGGGTGTTTCACTTCCTCACATTTGCAACGCCGAACTTTGGAATGATAGTCATTTGCTTGCGTTTTGTTCACTGTGGTGTGGGAGGTGTGGAGCTACAGCCTGTGGAGTCAGCTAGTTATAAAGGACAGAAGTGCCACAGACAGTATATAAATGTGAAATAAATAGCAGCTGAAGTCGATGTCAGCTCCAATCCTTGGCTTCCCATTATGATGGGGAAGTAATTATATGTATGCTCTTGGCTCAGTGCAAGTGCCCCGGTATTCAGACAGTAACTCTGCTCCTTACAGCATGGAGGTGAATGACCAATAATATGTGGTGCTTTATAAAGATGATATACCTCATGTAGTTCAATGTTCTGCTGATCTCGAAATGTATGTTCAACACAAATTGTTCTGTAATAGACTTTATCACAAAGGCAATACTAACTGTAATCGTTTCTCTTTGTGCAGGTATACATAGCTACATTTGTTGTATCGGGCTATGCATCCAGCTACTACAGAACAGGAGGAAAGCCTTTTAACCCTCTCCTGGGAGAGACGTACGAATGTGACCGGCCAGATAAAGGCTTTACATTTGTTGCCGAGCAGGTATGCATGAATCCAGTCTCTGTGCTATTCATAATCCCAGTATTCTAATAATAATTTTAATGCATGCACTGGAAGCATTTTTATTGAATCAATTTACTAACCCAGTTGTTTTAAACATCAGGTGAGCCATCACCCGCCGATCTCAGCTTGCCACGCAGAGTCTAAAAACTTCATCTTCTGGCAAGGTAGTCGAATATAGAAATGAATCTGGTCCTTAGTCAGTGTTTGAATATATTTGAACAGTGGCTGGCTCTCTAAGATGAATGCTGAAAGTGTATGATTACTTTCTTTCTGATTGATTTTGTAGATGTGAGGTGTAAGAACAAGTTCTGGGGGAAATCAATGGAGATTCTTCCTGTTGGCACCACTCATGTAACTCTGCCGGGGTGAGTCTTTTGCATTATTTATTCTAAGACTCATAGATAGAGACTTTACAAACCAAGGGCCATGTCAAATAATAGAGCAATATCTACCAAGTCACGTTAAAAGGAATGGTGTTTTAATCCCTTTTGTTTCTAGATTTGGAGACCACTATGAGTGGAACAAGGTGACGTCCTGCATCCACAACATTCTCAGTGGACAGCGCTGGATTGAACATTATGGAGAGATCTCCATCAGAAACTCCAGCAGTGATATTTGTCAATGCAAGATCACTTTTGTTAAGGTGAGACAAAAAGAAGAGTTATATTTGGTAACTGTATGCAGAGATGCACCCACCCTAATGACTCACATTACCACTATCAACAACTTTTTCTTTAGCCACAAAAGCTTTCTGTTCACATTTCTCATAACAAATGCAGTCTTTAATTTGGAAATGTGAAACTAAAGGCTGAACTACTCTTCTTTCTTCTTCAACACAAGGCATATGAAGCATCTTTCAAACAAAAAGGCTTTTAAAGGCCTTAAGGGTTGATGTCACACCTGCTCCACGTAAAATATAGTGATTTAAAAGCCATTATAATTAAGTACATTCCAGCTCCTGCATAATGTAGCGCCTTTTCTTTCCTCTCTTTAACGCCCTATGTGTTTGTGTTGGTAGACATCCCTCTGTGCGCCCCATGGAGTGTGATTTAAAATAAGAAAAAAAAATAATGATGTAGTCGCCTTAAGAATAGTAAATGCAGTTGTACCTTCATTAGTCCATACACCTTGTACACAGATGATGCTCTCCACTACGAACACCACAGTTCTCAGTGTTTGATGATTGGAAGCCTTTACTGGATGGAGAAGGTTAATTGCTTTAGCATGTGCCCATTTGAAAGACCTCCTGAAGCTGCGAAGGGTAGCAAGTCCAGACACGTCAGAACTCATTATGCATCTTTATCTACCATTAAATACAGCAGCTTGGCAACACACAGCTGGGGCTCGGGATGGTTTACTCAACAGCAACATCTGCTGACTGCGAGAGAACATGATTGTGATCGCTAAGTTGTCTATTCATGCTCAGTTATAATAGCTTAAAACTAAGTTCTTCTCCAACTGTCAATCCTTTTCACAGGCCAAATACTGGAATTCAAGCGTGAATGAGGTGGAGGGAGCTATCACAGATAACAAAGGGAAGGTCATCCACAGACTCTTTGGAAAGTGGCAGGAAGCTGTTTTCTGTGGAGACCCTCCCTCAGCCAAATGTATCTGGAGAGCAAGTATGATTTTCTTTTATAAGAATGCAAGAACCCCTTTTGCAATGCATATCTCTTTCTGACTGTACCTGATGCATTGGTTGTTATTTATGTTGAATTTAGATGCAATGCCAGCAGACCTTGAGCAGTACTATGGTTTCACCAAGTTTGCTATTGAGCTGAACGAGCTGGACCCCCCCCTGAAGCTGCTGTTACCCCCCACCGACACCAGACTACGGGTGGACCAAAGGTACAAGATCAAAACAAATTGTGTTTTCATGCACTTAAATTACATAGTTATTGATAACCTGAATAATTAAATACTTACGAGTGTGTTTATGGTCGTTAAACATGTTATGTCCGTTCTGTGGAAACCACCTGGGCCAAGTGACACGGTTTTGCTCATCACGATATAGGCCTACTTTCTTGTGCGCACGAGAAAGTTACAGGTTCGCCGTGGAGCTGTGCCTTTTACACAAAGCCTTCGCTGTGTTTACCTTCATTAGACAGCTAAAGAGCAACTGCAGGCTGCTGTTTTAACCACACACACCTCTACACACACACACACACACCTCTACACACATCGAACTGCCCGATTATTCCCCCATAACTCGTTCTATTTCGTCCCTACTGACCGCCAGAGGCGGTGCTTTAAGCACTGGATATGTCCATCGCGCGCATGCGCAGCTCGAGTACCAATAACAACAAAGTCACCTGTGACCCACGTGACACCGGCTATATCAGCCGGTGTCGTCAGAGGATCTGTTCCTTTCATCTTCTCGCTGCGCGAGAGTACTGTGGCTACATTTTTGTAGCCTACAGCGTTCAGGTTTGATCTGAGGGATTGCTCTGCAAGCAGCTGGCCGCGTGCAGCTTCGCGACTGACAGTCGGAGCTACGGGTCGTTAACGCGTCCTCCAGGAGCTGTGGCCGGCTGTGCGCTGTGCAGAGCCTCGACAGACAGGTCAGCTTGTTGCTGGTGATGGCTGTGTCCCCGCACCCTCTCCCAGCCAAGTTGTCCTGATTGCCGTCTTATTTTTTGTTTGGCTTAGACTTTCTGGTGACGACAGTGTTCCCGCTTCCTCTCCCATAAAGTTGCCCTTATGCTCTTTTGAAAGTTCTGCTTGTGGCGTTGTGCCCGAGCTATCATTAGCATTTGAGTCCCAGCTTTGGCTGTGTCCCTCATTCAATTTAGTATGGAAAGCCCAGAGTGTCATATTTTAAACCCGTTTTTCGTTTAGATGCAGAGAGTAAGGTAAGTACTTTCTATTTCTTAGAAGCTATTATCTGGTCTTAACATTTGTGTTCTGACTTGGTCGCTTGATTGTTAGCAGCAGCTGCTTGGCTAACACCTTGCTGTTAAGCTTAATTATTAACTCAGCCGGTGAGGGCAGTGCTCCCACTCCCGGTAACATAGGGTTTGATTGCAGTAGCGCTAGATCGTTGTATTACTGCTCCTCGTACTAGACTCCTAGCACTAGGAATAGGATGATATGCAGAGAACATCTTCACTGCGGGTGCTGTGTGCTCTGCATGTGCGGTTACTACTGTAACCATGGCCTACGGTTCTATGCGGGCTGTTCTCTTTCTTAGAAGCTAATTATCTGGTCTTAACATTGTGTTCTGACTTGGTTGCTTGGTTGTTAGCAGCAGCCGCTTGGCTAACACCTTGCATGTACTGTTACGCCCCGTCTACACTACAGGCATCGAAAAATGCTTTTACCGCTTCGCCCATTCACTTGAATGGGGGTAACGTAGTTGATTTTTGAATCTTCGCCGAACTGCATTGTGGGGAGCGGAGCGTGGCTTTGCAAGCATCGTGAGCATCAAAAGTTGAGCAATGTTCAACTTTTGAGGCTCGATGCTTGGCATCAGCCAATCAAATCCTGTTTATGCAAATCCCGCCAGTACAAGCGCTAGCCAATCAAACCGTGTGCAAGCTGGGAGAGCCAGACCGCAGTTCATTTCCTCATATTCCAAACGAGAAATTATGGTAGCAAATCACCCGGTTCTTTACGACCAGAACTATTTACCGGGATAAAAACCGGAGGAACCAGGCATGGAGGGAGGTGGCAGAGACAGTGGGTGAAACTGGTAGGTTTTCGCCTGTTTGGGGATTTTATATCCAGTTTACTTCGTTTTAACATTGCTATTGCTTTGTATGTCGGGGGCGGGAGATTCATGTGAGTGGTTGTTGGTCGCCTTGGGCGCGAGAAATCGCCAAGCCTCAGACACGCCCAGCTTCAAGATTTTTTATGCCTGTAGTGTAGACGGCCCGTTACGCCCCGTCTACACTACAGGCATCGAAAAATGCTTTCACCGCTTCGCCCATTCACTTGAATGGGGTGACGTAGTTGATTTTGAATCTTCGCCGAACTGCATTGTGGGGAGCGGAGCGTGGCTTTGCAAGCATCGTGAGCATCAAAAGTTGAGCAATGTTCAACTTTTGAGGCTCGATGCTTGGCATCAGCCAATCAAATCCCGCCAGTACAAGCGCTAGCCAATCAAACCGCGTGCAAGCTGGGAGAGCCAGACCGCAGTTCATTTCCTCATATTCCAAACGAGAAATTACGGTAGCAAATCACCCGGTTCTTTACGACCAGAACTATTTACCGGGATAAAAACCAGAGGAACCAGGCATAGAGGGAGGTGGCAGAGACAGTGGGTGAAACTGGTAGGTTTTCGCCTGTTTGGGGATTTTATATCCAGTTTACTTCGTTTTAACATTGCGATTGCTTTGTATGTCAGGGGCGGGAGATTCATGTGATTGGTTGTTGGTCGCCTTGGGCGCGAGAAATCGCCAAGCCTCAGACACGCCCAGCTTCAAGATTTTTTGATGCCTGTAGTGTAGACGGCCCGTTAAGCTTAATTATTTAACTCAGCCGATGAGGGCAGTGCTCTCGCTCCCGCTCCCGGTAAACGCATTGTATGGTTGCAGTAGCGCTATATCGTTGTATTTACTGCTCCTAGTACTAGACTCCTAGCACTAGTATATGCAGAGAACAATCTTCACTGTGTGTGCTGTGTGCTCTGCATGTGTGGCCATTAAGGAGGATTTCATCCTCCCAATATTATATTATCTAGTGGGCAGCCGTTTGGCTGACACTTTTAGGCACCGGCCACAGTTACTACTGTAACTAAGGTTCTAAGCCGTAAGTACTGGCCATAATTACTACTGTAACTACGGTTCCAAGCCGTGTAAGTACTGGCCATAGTCAATACTGTAACTACGGCTCTATGCTGTGTAAGTACTGGCCATAGTTACTACTGTAACTACGGTTTTAAGCCGTAAGTACTGGCCATAGTTACTACTGTAACTACGGTTTCAAGCCGTGCAAGTACTGGCCATAGTCAATACCGTAACTACGGCTCTATGCTGTGTAAGTACTGGCCATAGTTACTACTGTAACTACGGTTCTAAGCCATGTAAGTACTGGCCATAGTTACTACTGTAACTACGGTTCCAAGCCGTACAAGTACTGGCCAGAGTTACAACTGTAACTACGGCTCTATGCTGTGTAAGTTCTGGCCATAGTTACGACTGTAACTACGGTTCTAAGCCGTGTAAAGCCTAAGCCTGCCTTGTCTTTCCGTTAAGCAGGTAGCTGGTGAAGGCTGTGTTCCCGCTCCCGGTTACGCTGCATCTGGCATTCGTCTCTAACTCAACCAGTGAAGGTAATGTTCTCGCCCCCGCTCCTGGTAGACGCGGAACTGCCCTGTTTTTCCGTTAAGCAGGTAGCTGGTGAAGGCTGTGTTCCCGCACCCGCTCCCGGTTATGCTGCATCTGGCATTCGTCTCTAACTCAGCCGGCAGTGTTCTCGCCCCCGCTCCTGGTAGACGCTGAACTGCCGTGTTTATTAATCCAGCCAGGTGAAGGCAGTGCTCTCGCTCCCGCTCCCTCTGCCGGTAACGTGGGTGTAATTACATCCCTCTTTCTGTTCGGCGAGTAGCAGCAACGCTCTACTCTTTCCATTAAGCAGGTAGCTGGTGAAGGCTGTGGTCTCGCACCCGCTCCCGGCTACGCTGCATCTGGCTACCTACAGAATGGCTCATTCATGTAGCGCCTGTATGGCTTCTCTTGAGCCCGAGGACGGTCAGTGGGGACGAAATTCGAGCATCTGAGGGAGGGTTCTCATGGTAAACGGCTGCATGAGCTGTAGCTGCATGCCTCAGGCGCTCAGAGTGGCTAGAATCACTGAGGTGGAACGTCTGGCAGCAGCCAACAGACACCTCTCCTTGTCACATCCTCCTCCAGAACAATTCGGCCGTTCCTGGCGACTTGAGGGAGTGATGGCTATGTGTGCTCCCCCCAATAGAAGGACTAGAAACAGGCTGTCCTCTAAAGTGGATCGGCTAGCTGCCGATAGGGGCATGATGAAGTCGCCTCTTGGCCCTTCAGCCTGGGCCCGGTGTAGGGGCTGCTAGCTGGCCGCCTGTCCCCCCCCCCCCCTCGGTTGACGCCCCTCCTTCGGTTGGCGCACCTCCTTCGGCTGACGCACCTCCTTCGGTTGACGCACCTCTGTATGAGGACGCCTTGTCGCTGGTACAGACTCGTCGCCAGGTTTGGCTGGCCCAGTCACCACTAACGGAGGCATGTAGGGGAGTCCTCCGTAGTGTACCAGTCGAGCCAGGGGAGCTGTTTAGGTCAGCTGCCCTGGAGGCACTGGAGCGTGCTGCCCAAGCTAGGCAGACCAGGCAGCAGCACTCGGGTCTTCGCAGACCTGTGCCCACTCCCAGCTGGCCCAAGGGCCGCTCTAGCAGCCGCACTCAGCCGCCGGATACAGGGGTGGTCTGCAGAGGTCTTAGCGGCCCACTCAACCGCCTCCCAATGACTTTCGTGCCCCCAGGTCGCCCGCCTTCCAGGCGGCCTCGTGCCCCAGAGCCTTACCGGCGCCCCCCAAGAGGGGCCGGGGGGCTGGGCCCTGAAATCCCGGGGGCGGTCGTCGGCTGCTTTCCCAGCAGCAGCTCAGTTACTGGGCGGTCTGTACTTCCGGCCCTTGGGTGGTTTTCACCTTAACCCAGGGGTACGGACTGCAGCTCCGGCCCCTAGCCTTCGGCTGGGTCTAATTGACAGTCATCAGCGATCCGGCAGGGGCCCTAGCTCTGGCCCAAGAGTTGTCCGTCCTTCTGTCCAAGGACGCAATCAAGCCAGTAAGACCCTCTGCTTAGCCCAGGGGGTTCTACTCGGCGTACTTTCTCGTGAGCAAGAAAGTCGGCGGATTTCGCCCGATCTTGGACCTCAGAGGAATCA